TTAGACATACTTTAATGTGTACTAACGTCACATAAACATTCTAAATTTTTTTCTTGACTTTTCTACAATAGTAGATTCAAGAAACTTTTTACTACTTTTAATTAATATATTTAGTAATTCTTTATGCCTAAATAAAATTTCAAAATGTTCTTTCGTTGTGTATATACCAAAATTTTTTTTTCTTCAGGAGTTAACAATAGAGTTAACTTTTCTTTGGCAAAAGTCTTTCTTCGTTTATTTTGCTTATTGATGTGATATTATCATATCCAGTAAAAAGGAGAAATTGCTTCAAATAATCAAGAGATACATATAACTTGTAGATTGAATTTTTCTATAAGAAGAAAGAATTTTTCTATTTTTCTATAATTTTTCTATTTAACATCGACAGTATGGGGATGATTCTGAACGACCGCACATGCATACAAACACTGTGTACTGTCCAAAATGATGACCCCCACTCATCTCCATTCCTATGCTATCGATGCTGCTTCAGACGTAAGCGCGGTAAAATGCGAAGTAATTCGAAGTAATTCGAAGTAATTCGAAGTAATGCATAAGTAATTCTAGGAAAATGTACATGTATTGCGACAGTGAGACACTCCTTGATGGCTGACGTTGCAATCATCCTTGATGCCTCGGTCACTTGTCTCCGATCGCTCGAAATACACGAAAATCGCGAGCTGGGTACAAAGCCCAAGCAACAACGAGACACGAAAATGGCGACGGCGACAGAGCAACCGGTCTTCAAACGAAATCGCGTACGTGGCTTAGCGATGGGCAACCTCACCGATATTTGCTCCCGCGGCCAGGGGATAATCCTCGACTCATCCTTTCGCCCTAATTTCGACTGCGACACTTAACGACAACAAAGCAATGCTAAGCGACTACTCGGTGTGAGCGCCCGCACCAGAATGAATCCCTGGTTCTCGCGATCCAGGGTCGATAGCGGCGTCAATTCTGCGCAGGGGTGCGCGGATTCACGGCCAATAGCGCCACGACACGCGAGGTATTAATGCGCCTCGTGATAACGTCGTAACGGCCCCGAATATTCGAAAATCTTGATGTTGACGATCCGGTTATCGGTGATCTCCCTGATGCTGATCGTCCGTTCTCCATCCTCGGAGGGTAGCGCCGACCGGGCTCTGTTATCCCGGTCCAAGACAGCTGTTTCTTTAAAGCTTTTTCTCCTCTTGCTGCTGGGGCGAATTCCGCCCGCGATTCTGCGCTGTCCTGATCCTTGGGCACTATCTTCGTTCTCGAATAATTTCTTAATTTTACATAAACCATAAAATATCTAGTAAACCATTTTTCGATTATCTTACCTTCATACTTTTATGTACAAAATAATGAGAGGAATCAATTGATGTAAAGAAAACATATAGTTGTTTCTAAGAAAAAATATGTAATTTGCAATTAACAATTCCATATTTTTTCTTAAAAACAACTGTATGTTTTCTTTACACCAATTGATTCCTCTCATTATTTTGTACATAAAAGTATGACGGTAAGATAATCGAAAAATGAATGGTTTACTAGATATTTTATGGTTTATGTAAAATTAAGAAATTATTTCAAGCCTTATAACTCAAAAAGTACTTAATAAAAAGGTACTTAATTATAGTGTTTTGGAAAGCTCTTGAGATAAGCTATAAGAATATGTAATGAGAAAATATAGCTTCCATTTAAGAAATTGAAGGTAATCTTCATGTGACCTTCAAATAACTCTTCAAGATCAAACCAATAGTACCATCTTATGTATGTGTGTGTGTATATATATATATATATATATATATATATATATATATATATATATATATACAGGGTGTCCCATTTTAATTTGGACAGTAAAATATCTCAAAAACTAAGCCCAGCAAACAAAAATGTTTTAGACAAAAGTTGTATGATTTCGAGGAGGACATAAGATGGTACTATTGATTTGACCTTGAAGAGTTATTTGAAGGTCACATGAAGATCACCTTCAATTTCTTAAATGGAACCTACATTTTCTCATTACATATTCTTGTAGCTTATCTCGAGAGCTTTTCAAAACATTATAATAAAATATTTTTTCATTGAGTACGTTTCGAGTTATGAGGCTTGAAATCATTTCTTAATTTTATATAAACCGTAATATATCTAGTAAAATATTCATTTTTCGATTATCTTGCCTTAATACTTTTATGTAGAAAATAATGAGAGCAATCAATTGATGTAAAGAAAACATATAGTTATTTAAAAAAAAATGTAATTTGCAATTAACAAATTACATATTTTTTCATTTTTGTGTTCGCGAAAATTTAAAGGTGCACGAGGCGTATGCATATGTTCCTTTTAATTTATTTAATTCACGCGGAGAGATCGCGTTTTTATTATTTCCATAGATATAAACAAATAGACGAGAGAGATATCAGTGTGGGGCTGAATAGCTCAGTGGTAAGAGTAGTCGCCCGGCAAGCGAAAGACTCGGGTTCGATTCCCAATTCAGCGACTTCGCCCCGATATTTTTCTCGCCTACGTCTCTTCAGGGGAGTAAAGAGGGGTCTTATAGTGTGTTCTGGGATTGAGAATCTATATCTTGGTTTTATGCACCAAGTAAAATATAGGCATATGTCAATGATTTTCCAAAACGCGTTTTAATTTTCGCGAATTACTAATCTTTTAAATTTCACGCACTACCATCCGCGTTGGCTCTTAATTAGCTCTTTTCTCGAATAATATGTCTTTACGTGTGAGATTCTCGTGTAGGAAAAGGTTGTTTTAATAATGATAATAATAATAATAATAACAATAATAATAATATAATAATTTATAAATAATAATATAATTTATAAATATAAATATAATAATATAATTAGTTTATATTATATATTAATAAAAACTTTTAATATGCAAAAGCAAATAATATTAATAAAAACTTTTTATATTAATAATAATATATTATATTTTATAATATATTATATTATATTTTTATATTAATAATAATCATTTACATGTCAAACAGTACCGTAGATATATCTAAGATATTTGGATTTTCAGTACAGTTTTAATATAAATTTCTGGCATTAAAGCAAATAAGCACGCTTTTCAAGCACGTAATTTTTGTTAAAATTTTTTAACATAATGAAATCGACTAAATTATTAAGTTTAATGCGATTGCCTTGCAATCATTTATAATTAGGTAATACCTATCAGAATACATATATTTATTAAAGCGTCTTTGATGTAAGTAATACTTAAGATTTTTTAGTGATTTGTAACATTAGAAATATTAGAAACTATTGATAAACATGCAAAAAAGTAACTCGTCCTGTCAAATTTTAATAAAGTAAATCATAACATGACGGTTACAGCAGCCAGACAAACGGCGACGGCAGCTAACCAATTAGCAAATATAAAAAATGCTATTAATGTGATAGATCGATTTTAAGTCTAATTTGACTAGACTGTTTTTCACAGACTAGAACGTATACAAAAAATTAATAGTTTTAAGTCTTAACACTCATTTTTACTGCCTTCTGGAGAGATAGTGGGTGTTTCCGCATCTATGAAACTTTCAAAGTCATTATAATTATTCTTTGATGCCATCTGGTATGAAAATAGATAAATAAAAATGATTAAAACTGATTTAGTTTTAATACTGTTTCTAGCATAAAAATACATTTGATAAACACATCACTAAAAAAAAATGAAATAAAAATTTTATGTCGAATTCAGCATTAAAAAGGATTAAAAGTTAAAGCAGATTAAAGAATATGAAATCGCTTAAACACTTTTATGAATAGAATTGCATTGAAATTGAATTTGAATAATATAAGATAGAATAGGATAAGAATCATATCCAAAATCTGGCATTAAAACAGATAGATAAATAAAAATGATTACAACGGATTCATTTTCATACCATTTCGAGTATAAAAATACATTTGATCAATTCGTGATAAGTACGAATTAAATGGAATAAAAAGTGTAATATACCAAAAGTAGCATTAAAATGAATAAAAATATAAAACAGATTAAAATGTATTAAATTTCTTTACATTTATATGAATAGAATTGCATTGGAATTAAATTCGGATAGAATCAGATAAAATTTTCACTTGAGTTGGAATAGACAGTATAGAAATGGATTCAAGTGGATTCAGATGGATAGAATTTCAATTCATTTCAATCCAAATCTATTCTCGATTTTCACTAGGGACAACTTTTGTGTGAAACATTTTTTTCTACAATCAAAATTAAAAGTTATGAGGGTGGAACTTTTAAAATGGGACATCCTGTACACACACACACACACACACACTCACACATGTGTATAATACACGTGTAGAGGAGATATGGACTTTATCATATAGGTATTTAGATATTTATTAGATATCTATGAGATAATTTTTTTTATATACGCAAATAAGCATTTTGATATATGTTATTTATTTTACCTTTAAATGATATAATATTGTATTTTTCCAATATTAACCTTTACTTTTAAAAAATCTGTTAAAAATCAATAAGATAAATTGCACTGTTGACGCATTTTGTGTGTGTTAAAAATTTTAACAATATAGATATTTTATGAAAACAGACAAAAACACAAATATATACTAGAAATATATAAGAAGACAGAAGAGCTAAGAGATAAAGGCTTTTCTTAATGAAAAATTGATCCTATTGGATTTTATTATGATATCTTTATTTATAAGATAAGATTATAAGGCAAGAGCAAAAATAAAGATCCTGATATAATTGAACTCTAAGCTATATTAAGTTTATGAAAGTTTATTGAATATATTATTTATATATAAGCTATTATTAGATATTATTATTAGATAATACGTAACGTACTTGTACTAGATTGTCTGTGACTTGCTATTGTATGTAACTTGATGTGAGATACTGATTTTTGACATTGCTTTATTGTATGTGACTTGATGTGAGACACTGGTTTTTGATATAATTAAAAACTATTTCGTTGTACATTATTATGTTTTATTTATTATTTATAGGAGGATATAGAAAAAGTCATTGCTGAGATTGAGAAAGAGGAAGCCCATAGACAACGCATTAAAGAGATGGTAGTAAATGCGCCGTCTAGACGAGTCAACTTCACTTTGACGGCACATCCCTTCAAGAACGAACTTATTATGTTTGGTGGCGAATTTTATGATGGTCGGCAGGTATGTATTATATTTAAAAAAATTGATATTTAATATTTGGAATGATCTTAAAATTTTTCCATACAAAACGCATTAATATATTACACGTGTAGCAAAAAGTGCCAATATATTTACAGCTTATTCGTAAGAACGAAAGATTTATCGACTAACATATACAGAGTGTCATGAAAGTGAACATTACTTTAAAAACTTAAGGTAGATTGGCTCAAAGTTAGAAGAAAAGTTTTGTACAGTTATGCAATATTCGCAATAATTAACGAGAAATAAATTAAAGAAAATCGGCCAATCTGCGTGAATAGAAGCGCGCGGCGGTGAAAGCGATCTGTAATGGTGGCGCGCGGTGAAACGATGATTGAGGAGGGAAGAAGCTTTCGCCGCGCGCCTACACACTCATCGCTCCTCCTCTCCCTAATAGGGAGATCGTAGAATACAAATATATATAGAGTGTCCCATTTTATTTTTGTCAGTCAAATATCTTGATATTATTCAAAGTTATTCAGAGTTAAAAAAAAATGTTTCAGACAAAAGTTATATGACTGGAAGGGGGCCATAAGATGGTGTCATTGGTTTGACCTTAAAAAGTCGTTTGAAAGTCACGTAAGGGTCACCTTCAATTTTTTTAATGGAACCTCTTATTTTTTATTTTTATTTATTATTTATTTTTATAGTTTATCTCGAGAGCTTTTCAAAACACTATAATAAAAATGAAACTTTTTTAAAAAACCAAGAATAGAGAAAAAGGATAAAATTGAAAGTCTCAAATTGAATAAAAAACTCTAAAAACAACTTTTGTCTGAAACATTTTTTCGATTTTTTCATTATTCCGAAATATTTACCTGGGGATATTAAAATGAGACATTCTGTATGTATATTATAATACATATATTCGTGAATATGGATATACGAAACTTTTTTAAAAAACCAAGAACAGAGAAAAAGGATAAAATTGAAAGTCTCAAATTGAATCTTCGCCTCCTTCTACTTCTACTGATTCATCGGCTTCCTTCTACTGCTTCAATTATTTCTTCAATTACTTCTTCAATTATTGCTTCAATTATTTCATCCAACGTTGCCATTAACAATTACATATTTTTTTTTTAAAAACAACTATGTTTTTTTTTACATCAATTGATTCCTCTCATTATTTTGTACATAAAAGTATTAAGGTAAGATAATCGAAAAATGAATATTTTACTAGATATTTTATAATTTACGTAAAATTAAGAAATTTCAAGCTCATAACTCGAAAAGTACTCAATGAAGAAATACTTTATTATAGTATGAGAGAAATCAATTGGTGTAAAGATATTTTATGTTTTATGTAAAATTAAGAAATAATTTCAAGTCTCATAACTCGAAAAGTACTTGATGAAAAAATGTTTATTTATAATGTTTTGGAAAGCTCTCGAGATAAGCTACAAGAATATGCAAAAATATATATAGTGTTCCATTTAAAAAATTCAAAATGACTCATGTAACTTTCATGTGACTCTTCAAGGTCAAACTAATGGCACCATCTTATGTCCCCCTAGAAACCATACAACTTTTGTCCGAAACATTTTTTCAACTTTCCATTATTTTCCGAAATATTTTCCTGGGAAAATTAAAATGAGACACCCTGTATATAATACATATAATATAATATACGCCTATCGTCTATCGTTTATCGTCTATTGTACTTCACTTACTGTTCGCATGTTAGCAAGGAATGTTCCCCACTCATCGCTCGCACGTTAGCAACGAGTGCCCCCCACTCACCGCTCGCGATACGCGTAACTAAGGAGCACAGCGCCAGTGATGCCAGAATGGATACGCTGGTAATAGTAAATTATTTCGCATATAGTATAGTTTGGCGTTCCTGTGGAACAGTCGAGGGTCAAGGAGCGTCGAGGAGCGTCGAGGAACGTCGAGCTCTATGCGAAATAATTTGTTGTTGCCAGCATATCTATTCTGGCATCACTGCACAGCGCTTCGTCTCAGAAGCGTTCATAATACCTATATATAAACGTTGTGCTCTTTACAATTAGTTATGCGTATCTGGCGACTCGTTGCTAATATGCAAGCAATGAGTTGGGGGCAATAAGCGTAAATCGGATCGAAATGTGATCGAGATGTAAATCCCAGCACGTTTATTCAAAGAAAGAGTATGTAAATTCCAAATTTTTTGCTGATTCCAAATTCCAGGAGGGGGCAAATGCCCCATCTTGCTGTCTCCCGGCCCCCCTGGACGTCCATGATCATTAGATACATTTTATTTAGTTCTACAACTTGGTTCCTTACATATTTTTCATTATAGTTGATCATTTTCGAAATATTTTCATTATAGTTGATCGTTTTCGAAATATTAGCTTTCCGGGACCTTCTGAAGACCTTGTATACACACACACGCACACATACACTCACACACACACACACACACACACACACACTCACAATCACACTCACACACACTCGCACACACTCACACTCACACACACACACACACACACACTCACACACTCACAATCACACTCCCACACACATACACACACACTCACGCACACACTCACACTCGCGCGCACACACACACACACACACACACACACTCACAATCACACTCACACACACTCGCACACACTCACACACACACTCACACACACTCACAATCACACTCACACACACATACACACACACTCACGCACACATTCACACTCGCGCGCACACACTCGCACACACACACACACACTCACACACACACTGTCATTTTAATGTCCCACCCCAAATATCTCTTTTCCACCTTTTACAAAATAATGTTTCAGACAAAAGTTGTATGGCTTGAAGGAGGACATAAGATGGTGCCATTAGTTTGATCTTGAAGAGTCACCTGAAAGTCACGTGATGGTCACCTCCAACTTTTTAAATGAGACACCCTATATACTTTTGCATATTCTTGTATTTCACCTCGAGAGCTTTCTAAAACACTATAATTAAGTTTTCATTAAGTACTTTCCGAGTTATGAGGTTTGAAATCATTTCTTAATTTTACATAAACCGTAATATATCTAGTGTGACGTTCTGGTAACGTCGATCAGTTGGTTCCGTGAGGCAGGCTTTTCCAACAGTTTTCCGAGTTCGACAGAACGTCTTAGTTGTGGGTTCTTCTTTTTGCGGTTAAGGGGGTAAAACCCCAGGATAATTAACTACTTTGAATTGGGTTTTTTTTACTGACGATGATTAAAGAAATATACTTTTGTTTAAAATTTAAATTCTTTATTATGACTTGGTCTAGCAGTTTACAATACGAATAAGAATCTGAGTGAGTTTAAGTCTAGAGTGAATCTGAGCTGAACTGAGCTGAATAGATCTGAGCTGAGCTGAACTGATCTGAACTGACTGATCTAAAACTGAGCAAGAATGAGGTTGAACTGAGCTTTTCTTTCGTTGTTGGAAGAGTTTTTATACTCTTTTAAAATTGAATGTTAGGGGTAATTTATGGAGTTTTAAGAACAAATTCTTTAGCTGTGAAACGGATTTTTGCGAACTTCTTGGGTGGTCTTTAAGAGAAAGTTTTTTTAGGAATACATATTAGTTGATTCTCCGAATGCGTTGCTTGCAAGGTCGTGTCTTACATGCATTATAATAAATTACGATAAATGACCTTTTTCAAAGAATTATAATAACTATTTGATTATTTAAAATATTGGTCATTTATCATGATTTTTACATAAATAGATTCTCTTTAATCTTTTAGACATATTTTACATTATATTTTTATATAGTTGTATAATAAAAAAAGCTTATATTTAAAAGGACTTCCTTATAGCGGTCTTTGTCTTTCCTAAGTATTACATATAAGTCTATCTCGCTCGTATAGATGATTCATATATATATATATATATATATATATATATATATATATATATATATATATATACAGGGTCTACCAAAAGTGTGGAAACCCCTAAATATCTCGGAAAATATACGTTTTACAGAAAAGTGTTTCCAACAAAAGTTGTAGGGTTTAAGAAGATCTATATACTGATTCTATCAGTTTGACCTTGGATGGCGTCGTCAAGGTCAGGTCAAGGTCACATTGACTTTTTTAAATGACACCCCCTACATTTGATTGCATATTCTTATAGCTTAATTCAAGAGCTTTCCAAAACACTATAATAATGTTCATTTTTATTAAGTACTTTGCGAGTTATGACGGTTGAATGATAGAGTAGCGCCGGTATTAACATTATCCAAGGTGTACTACATGGAGGTTACTCGCTCGGATTTGCATCTGTTGTGTGTGTGATCCAGCTAACTAAGGCAAGATCGATTCCTCAACATATCCTCATATTTCGCTGAAGTCAAATTGCCAAAAAATTGCTCCATAAAACGTGTATGAAACGTCTCGTTAGTTCCTTCATTTACCGCTATGTGACGCACTACATGCAGTCTAACTCGCATTTAAAATTCAACTAAGAATGTATAAAGCTATCAAAGAACGAGCACCTTCTAACTTCAGCTTTGAGCAAGCAGAAATTAATTGTTATCGTCCAAATACAACGTACGATTAATTAAAATTAAACGTTTTAAAAATGGCTGGCGACTTGTCGGAACGTGAAAGAATCACTATCCTCATGATGCGTGGATGGGGTGATAACGAAAGATCGTTCTCTGATGTCGTTCGATTATTTAATGACACGTATCCGAACCGTCGAATTAATAAGTCCACTGTGTTAAAAACAATAGAACGTTTTAGACAAACTGGTAGCGTAAGAAATCGCTCTAAGTCAGGAAGACCATTGTCTGCAACCAACGAAGAAAAACAACTTGATGTTCTGCAGACATTTATTGAAGATCCCAATTCTAGTGTTCAGAGAGTCGCTCAAACTCACGATATTGCTCCCATGTCGGTTTGGAGAATTTTAAAGAAGAACAAGTTCCATCCATATAAATTGCAATACGTTCAAGAATTGCAAAACGGAGATGAGGAGCGTCGTATACATTTCTGTGAAAGAATGATGGCACTAATAGATGTCCGGCCCATCTTCCCTTATCAAATTGTTTTCACAGACGAGGCAACTTTTACCTTAACGGGAGAAGTTAATAATCAAAATTTTCGTTTCTGGTCAGATGAGAATCCGAATTGGGTGCGGGAAACTCACACACAACATCCACAAAAAATAAATGTATGGTGCGGAATAATAGATGGCTATTTAATAGGGCCGTTTTTTTTTGAAGAATATTTGAACGCTCAAAGGTATGAGAGATTACTTGTTGATCAAATAATTCCAGCCATACAGAATACTTTTCCAAATAATTTCCAAGAAATATGGTTTCAGCATGATGGAGCTCCTGCTCATTTTGGTGCAGGACCACGTCGTATTTTAAATGAGACTTTTCCGCTACGGTGGATAGGAAGAAGGAACGGAAATGAGGGAGGAGAGGATTGGCCACCTCGGTCACCAGATCTAACTCCTCTTGATTATTATCTATGGGGATATCTGAAGAGTAAGGTTTACAGAACAAAACCTAAAACCATTCACGAATTGATACAGCGAATAAGGGATGAAATGGCTTTGATACCTTTTGAAACGAATCGTAAAGTCATTTCTACATTCTACCAAAGATTAGCATATTGTCAGGAAGTAAATGGCAGCCACTTTCAGCATTTACTTTAACACATTGAAACACATTTGCAATCGTTTGGTGCAACCTAACCTGATCTCTGTATACACGCACCGCACGCACGCACACGCACACATTTCGAACAATTATTATGATAAATGAGCATCCACAAATTTATTTACTGTTTACTATGTCGATTGCTTTCCAGGTCTTTAAATGCTCGATTGTAATTTGGTTGGGTCTTTGCTTTTGCTGACTGGATCCACGACCGATCTTGCCTTAGTTAGCTGGATCACACACACAACAGATGCAAATCCGAGCGAGTAACCTCCATGTAGTACACCTTGGATAATGTTAATACCGGCGCTACTCTATCATTCAACCCTCATAACTCGCAAAGTACTTAATAAAAATGAACATTATTATAGTGTTTTGGAAAGCTCTTGAATTAAGCTATAAGAATATGCAATCAAATGTAGGGGGTGTCATTTAAAAAAGTCAATGTGACCTTGACCTGACCTTGACGACGCCATCCAAGGTCAAACTGATAGAATCAGTATATAGATCTTCTTAAACCCTACAACTTTTGTTGGAAACACTTTTCTGTAAAACGTATATTTTCCGAGATATTTAGGGGTTTCCACACTTTTGGTAGACCCTGTATATATCTCAGATTAGTATTTTATTATAGGTGACGTATAAGTCTCTCTTAGTTTCATGTTAGTTTGTGCTTGTAGCTTATTGGATGGAGGATAGTGAAAAAGGAAAAAATTTCTCCTAGATCTAAAGATCTAGGGATCTATGGATCGCCGGACGTGACACTAGTAAAATATTCATTTTTCGATTATTTTACCTTAATACTTTTATGTACAAAATAAAAGAGGAATCGATTAATATAAAGAAAAAACATAGTTATTTTTTAGAAAAAATTTGTAATTATTAATTGCAAATTACATATTTTTACGGATAAGCTTATCGATTTTAGTGACATTGACATATAAAGTCAAGCTCACTGTTCTGAGCAAGTATCAAAAGATTTTAAGAATCACTTATTATTTATTAAAAAATTATTATATCACCTATTATTTATTAAAAAGTTATTATATAAAATAATGAAAAAAATTTAATGAATAGAACATAATTTTGCGACAGCGTGTACGTTTGAGGAGAAATATCTAACGTAATTTAAATCAAATTTTAGTTGTAAATCAGAAATAGGGTTTGAGTTAGGTTAGATTATAGATAAAAAACGGAAAACGGTTGGGGTAGGTTGTAAATAAAAAATTCCAATAAGAAATAAGAATAGACTGTATTACTTATTGAAGATAATTATAATATATTAAGCAATATATTATTTTATAAATTGTTCAAAATGACTATCGTTTTGATCACACAATTTTGCTCTTTGAGTTATTGATGTTATGGCAATATCTAAATGAAAAATTTCTTAGGCGCTGAGTAACGATATACAATACATAATGATGCGGTACTTTTGTGTTCCATAACATCAATAACTTAAAAAGCAGAATTGTTTGTGTTCTTATTTCTAATTCCAATTTTGTTTTTTGTTTATAACTTTAAAACAATCGACTTTAGGGCATATGTATATTCAGACTTTTTGATTTCAAAAATTTAATTATATTTTTTTTTATCTCCTGGAAAAGATAAGGAGATATGATGTAAATGTTAATGTAAATGTTAGAAAATCGTTGTGTGAAAAATCGAAAATATATACCGAAGTTTATATTTTTAGATCTCATTTTGTATCTAAAATATTGAGTAATGTGAGAAATACAGATCGGAAAAAACATTTATTAAATACCTTTAGGTGTCTGTAAATGTTTAATACTTGTCTTTCCAGATTGCCATTTTTGACTGAAATTTATATTGCATAGAGAATCAGAAATATATCTTTTTAGATCTTAGTGTCAGAATATCAGACAACTAATATTTGTTTATAACTTTATATAATAAACAATTAACAACATCCTTTTACTAAAATTTTTTTAATGTTTAGGATTATAATCTTGATCACATACTTCTATCATTAAAAAATCAAGAGTGGCCCTTAATATTCAATTTTACTAAAAAATTACTGAAATAATTTGTTTTTAGATTTTTTGATAGAGTAAATCAAATCAAATTTGATAAAGATAAATAATATTAAAAGAGATTAACTAATATTAAAAGTGATCTAACAATAAAAAAAATCATTTTTCTATTTAATAAAACAAAATCTAAACATAATAAGAGTTTAATTATATTTAATTCTTTTAGACCATTGTATATGGCGATATGTTCTTCTATAACATAAATAAGCGAGAATGGACATTAATAAAAGCGCCTGGAGCACCACCACCGCGATGTGGTCATCAGACAGTAGCTACTACTGCAAATGGCAGTGGCGAATTATGGATATTTGGCGGTGAATTCACTAGTCCGAGCGAGTCGCAGTTTTATCATTACCGTGACTTGTGGGTATTCCGGTTCGCTGAAAAGAAATGGGAAAAGATCACGTATGTATAAGAAAATAGAAAAAGAAATAAATAATACATAGTTATTTTTAATTGTGAAAAATTATTTACAATCAAATAAAATTTGAAGTCTGGCTCAAATAATTAAAAATTAAATCGAAGTTTAGCCATAGCGCAGTAGTTTAAACACAGAGAAGAAATAACATTTTCTTCTTTTTGATTACTCATTTATTTATTATTATTATTCGTTTATTAAATAAAAATAATTACATTAATAAAAAAAAATTAATGCTTTACATCATCTTTTGATCTGTCTTCAGCGCGATGTTAACAATATTAAAAAAAGAAGTGATATAATCCCCAAAAACTTACCTTTTTAAAAAAAGGTAAAAAAGGGCGCCAAGTTCATGCACTAATTGTATCCAACTATCATATTGTCTACAAAAGTAATGATACAAAAAAATTGCACCAACTAAGAATAAAAATTTGTACAAGATATATAGAAATACAAGGAAGAAAACTTGTACAAGTTAAATAGAAATATTTTAATTGAAAACATTGTTATACAAAATAGTTGTTTTAATTTTCAAAAATAATAATATTAAAAAATTAAAAATTTATTTAAAAATTGAAAACTGAAAATTAATATAAAACAAAAAAGTAAAAAAAGTTTTAATTAAAAAAACTTGGCACTACCAATTTTAGTATTATATTGTTCAGCTTAAAAATCTAAATTTCCAAATGCAAATCAATATACATTAATTAAATAAATTAGGTCATTAAATTTAAATGTTAGACTAATAATTGGAATATGTTCCAATCTTTTAGATTTCCATACTATATAAAGTTGATAAAATAGAAAAAACATAAACTTGAATAAATCTCATAGAAATTTCTAAAGTAAAAAGTATAATTTGTGAAAATAACATAAGAATTATAATAATTAAATTATTAATTGAAGATCCAGAAGATCTTAAGAGAGTTAATAATAAATGTCCAGCAATTATATTTGCTGTTAAATATATGTTTAATTGAAATATATTTTATTGGCAGCACCGAGTTTTTTTAATTAAATTTTTTTTACTTTTTTGTTTTATATTAATTTTCAGTTTTTAATTTTTAAATAAATTTTTAATTTTTTAATATTATTATTTTTGAAAATTAAAACAACTATTTTGTATAACAATGTTTTCAATTAAAATATTTCTATTTAACTTGTACAAGTTTTCTTTCTTATACTTCTATTTATCTTCTACAAATTTTTATTCTTAGTTGGTGCAATTTTTTTATATCACTACTTTTGTAGACAATATGACAGTTGGATACAATTAGTGCATGAACTTGGCGCCCTTTTTTTACCTTTTTTTTAAAAAGGTAAAAAAAGAAGTGATATAAACCCCAAAAACTTACCTTTTTAAAAAAAAGGTAAGTTTTTGTGGTTTATATCACTTCTTTTTTTAGTCTAATTTGCTAAAAGATATATTTAAAAAAAATATATATATATACATATACAAAAATTATACAAAATAATTATACAAAAACATATATATTACACAATTATATAAAAATATATATAGAATAGTATACAGAGTGTTCCATTTTAACTTGGACAGTAAAATATCTCAAAAACTAAGTCCAGCAAACAAAAATGTTTGAGACAAAAGTTGTATGGTTCCGAGGGGGACATAAGACGGTACCATTGGTTTGACCTTGAAGAGTTCTTTTTTTAGTCTAATTTGCTAAAAGATATATTTAAAAAAAATATATATATATACATATACAAAAATTATACAAAATAATTATACAAAAACATATATATTACACAATTATATAAAAATATATATAGTATATATTAGTATATATTTTATAGTATATATTTATAAATATATAATAAATATATATAGATTTTTTTGTAGGTCACATGAAGGTCACCTTCAATTTCTTAAATGGAACCTACATTTTTTCATTACATATTCTTGTAGCTTATCTCGAGAACTTTCCAAAACACTATAATAAAATATTTTTTCATTGAGTACTTTTCGAGTTATGAGGCTTGAAATCATTTCTTAATTTTACATAAACTGTAATATATCTAATAAAATATTCATTTTTCGATTATCTTGCCTTCCCTCGCTCGAATTATCGCGCTGGGGCTCTTATTTGCCAATTTTGATTTAATTTAAAATTATTTACGTTTCATAAAAATTTTATATTATAAAAATTTTAAAAATGAAATTCTCTAAAAAATATTAAATTAGAACATTTTTTAATTACATGCATTTATATTACAGGATATACATTTATGTTAAATGTTGCTTGATATTGCTTATATTATTTGATATTTTAAACGATCTTTTACACATACAAAGTGTGTGTATGTGGTGTGTTATATATTTAAAATAATGATTGAAACAAAATGTATGTTATTTCTTTTATTTTTAGTAAAAAGACGAAATTCAAAATATGTTATATTGTATAACATTGTTTTTCCAATGTTAATTTTTACTTGTTAAAAGATTTTATCAAAAGTTGGTATCGCAAACATGTTTACAATCTTCCCAGCAAACACCAAGTAACAGTTATATAACTGTTAGTTGTAATTTCCCACTCAACAATATAACTGTTATATAACTTACATGTTATATAACAGTTATATTTGTTAAGTCTTTTTTTTTAATCTCACGCTTTTCTTTTTCTCTGTAATGATAATCGATAAATGAATCGAAGTCGAGCGAATTTTGGTCGATACAAGCGGTAGCGGATAGAGCTACAATATGGTAGAGCTTTGTTTTAGTTTTACAGATGTACTTTACTGAAAATAAAAAGTTTCTTTTTAACAAGTCTAAGTACGTAATACGTCTCTGAGTTAAAACCTTAATCTAAATAATATTATTGAGGGAAATTACAACTAACAGTTATATAATTGTTACTTGGTGTTTGCTGGGTTGAGACAGTAACAGCATTAAGATACACAGAAAATAGATAAGCCTATGCTGTTTAAGGATATTAGAACAGAAAGTCGACTATAACGACGACACTAACGTTTCTAAAATGATAATTTGCTTGATTGGATTTTGCATTATCGATATTTTTACTTATAAGATATACAAAACAAAAATAAAGACTTTTGACTAATTGAAACCCAAGCTATTGATTAAAGAACCTCGTACAAATCTTATGGAAAAATGATATCAGTGAAATTACCTAAAAGTTGGATATGTTTTAGTTTATGACCTCCTCATCAAAAGGACACAACCTTCAAAAATGGACAGATTTTTTGTTACAGACGTTCAGAACGGACAATTATATTTACGCTGGAGATGTATTCGACATTACATGTTGATATGCATGCATGTTGGTATATTTGTATGTGTGGACTTTATTTTGTAAATAGGATTTTATTTACACTTTGATTTCTACAATCTTTGATCGCCAAGCTATTCTTGGCAAATTCTTAGTGTATTTTACTTTCCCGAGTTTTTCTCCTCAGCTATTATAGAATTCGGTTTAGGTTCCTCTTGATCTTTTATTTGATGAGCGAGGAGTCCTTGGTGGAGAGGTACGAGGTGTCGCCGGGACAGAAGAAAATTTCCTCTCGAAAAGTTCAATCGGAATCAGTTTCCAAGGAAGAAATTGAATTACTTTCCGAGGGTCGGTTGGCATTAGTAATGCTAAGATGATCTTGATGATTTCGAAGATCTGGAAGATCTCGTCGGTCTCTGGGATCAGGAAGGTCTCGGAGATCTCGAGGATCTGGAAGGTCTCGGAGATCTCGAGGATCTGGAAGGTCTCGGAGATATCGAGAATCTGGAAGGTTTTGGTGGTCTCGAGGCTCTGGAAGGTCTCGGAGATTTCGAGGATCTGGAAGGTCTCGGAGATCTCGAGGATCTGGAAGGTCTTGGTGGTCTCGAGGATCTGGAAGGTCTCGGAGGTCTCGAGGATCTGGAAGGTCTCGAAGATAAGGTAAATCGCGAGGGTATTCAAAAAGTACAAAAGGTAATTTCGCTGAATAGCTAGAAGCTAATTTCTGCGAGGTTACAAGAGGTGAAAAAGTCGTTACCCGTATCTTTATAAATACATTCCAATGTTTTTAAATTGCGAGAAAATAATCTTAATCTGTCGCGCCTTTCAGCGGCATTAATTATAATTGAGATTGTGCCAACTTCATTACGCTGGTCAGCGCTTCCCGCGATCGCGCTCGGTGGCGAGCGTCAGGGATGCCACAGTATGTATGTATTGTTTGTTTGTTTGTTCGTGCGCGCGTGCGTGCGTACAGGATCCCATTTTTTAATTGTTCACCCCAATTAACATCGCAGAAAGTAGACGAATGAAAAAATGTTTTAAATAAGAGTTGTACGGTATCTGTGAAGCTGGCACGACAATCTACGAATTTAAAAAAAATACTAAGAGTTCTGATAGCACTTTTCATAGTTCTATAGTTTCTGATAAAAATTAAAAAGAGTTCCGCATTCTTTATATTAAAAAATCGAAATCGAAAAAATGTCGTGCTAACTTGACGAATCTAGCACGACACTCTTCCCTCTAAAGTATCAAAACGCGTTAAATATTATTATTTTTAGCAAGAGTTCCCGATAGTTCTGTTCAAGTTCAGCCTATATATGCAATTTCAGATCGATATTTCAATAATCAATAATTTTTAAACAATTTTTAAGATTTTCATCCGGCACGACATTCTCCCTCTAAAGTACTAAACCGCGTTCAAAACTATTATTTCTAATAACAGTTCTTTATAGTTCTGCTATAGTTCAGCCTATATATGCAATTTCAGACCGATATTTCAATAATTAATAATTTTTTATGAATTTTTAATGTCCTCGATTAGCACGACACCTAGTAAAAATGTGTCGTGCTGATGATTTTCCGTAGTTTTAACGGCAGTTTTGGACAGTTCTATATAAGTTCTATCTTTTAGAAATATTTTTATGCAGAATTCCAACCGATTACTATTTTTTAAATAATTTTTTACAATAACTCAGCACGACACTTTCACTCTAAAGTATTAAGACGTGTTGAATATTATT